ATACAATAAACAGAAGGTTCCCCAAAGAAACTGGAGGACCCCCAAATGGAGCACAAATAGTTACCAGATTTTGAAATAAATTAAAATATGTATTCTTACCAAAAGAACACGTTTCCTATATTATGGCTATAAAACTAAAAATCTAAAAATTTGTAACTACAAGTTTAAGAACACTCTTTGTTACTAGAACAAAAAATAATTTCTTCAGCCAGAGTCAAATGCAAAATAGTTACTTGGGACAGATGCATCTACTAAAATTAAGCATATGACTGAGACCAAAACTCTCAGGCATATTTCTGGTTTCAGATTCAAAACTAATGATACTTGCTGACTTTTTACACAAATATTCATTCCTTGTTTCCTTAATGTCTTACCTTTCAGCTTTCTTCATTTCAGTAGCCTAATTTAAAGTCAAAACCAAAGATCTATGACAATTTTTTGTAGATAGCTGCTCAATCCTGGATTTTACATAGAATAACTGGAAAATGGTAAAAGATTCATAGACAGAATCTTGCTGAATGAAATAACTTTGATGATTCCTGAAACTATCCTATTATGATTCAGCCCAATAAGATCTGTATTTTAAAGATAGCAATGCTATCCTTTAAAATACAATTTCATCCTGCTATAGATAGAATGATGAGTTGAAGGACACTATCCGAAGATCAATGTGAGTATGTAGATAAGGGTTTTAAACATTTGGCTACAATTGGAGAGAGAAAGCAGAATTTGTTATAAGAGAAAGTGAAATATTAATCAAACTGAGAAGAGGACTTTACTGTAAATGCTTAGCTTTGAAAAACCTGGATTTCCAATAGCAGCCCTGTATATTGTGCTGATTTAGTTATTGCCATGTTTTTCCACTAAGAGGCTCAACTTTAACAATCAATAAGCACAATTCCATGCTGTGAATACCTGTAGCAATGCAGAAGGGTGACAGTTTCATTCATTTTTTGGTAAATAAGAATTTCTCTTTAGACTGGATGGAGGAAAAAAACCCTAGAGATTAAACAATATTTAATGTGGAAAGAAAGGAAAAATGACAGTTGAAGGACATTTTTCATTGCTGTGTCTGGGGCTGTTAAGCCATTATCACAAATACTGCCATGGATTGAAAGTTATAGAATAAGGCAATACTTACAGATACTAGCACACATAAGTAAATTCAAAAATGTTCCCCAGGTCTCAATATAATACAAATTTAAAACTCAAAAGACACTGGAACTTGTAAGATTACCTATCAAATACCAACATCTCATAAGCTCCCACTAAAATTTCACCAGGTTTGGATGATCTCATTCTCAAGTGAGACATATACATCCAAACTGATTTTTAGAATTAAGTATATACTATTTAGAATAAAGTATATACTCACTGGAGAAGAGCCTAATGCTGGGAATGATTGAGGGCAAAAGAAGAAGAGAATGGCAGAGAATGAGGTGGCTGGATGGAGTCACTGAAGTAGTCGGCATGAGCTTAAATAGACTCCGGGAGATGGTAGAGGACAGGAAGGCCTGTCATGGGTTCATGAGGGGTTGGACATGACTTCGGGACTAACAACAACAACAACTATAGATATACTATTGTACACATTTCTTGGATTTCAAGCTGAGCAATTTTAGTTATTTATATTAAATGGCATAAAGACTAAAATATTCTAGCCCTTTAGCATCCTCTAGCTGAGTGTTTTCTAGTGGAGGGCTGTTCTCTTACAGACAACTATTTTCACTGTTTTTGTTAATTTCATTAAAATTGTTGGCCAGAGATTACACTAGATTAGTAACCATTAGCATCACTTCATCTGCATACTGAACAATTATCCATTCCATTTTACTAATTGCTTAATTATAAGCTGCTATCATGGTACTATTCTAAAGTACATATGGTGACAGATGTTGAATAAAATGGAGACATTATAGTAGGAAAACTGAATCCTATATTTTGGGTTTTTTAAATATCTCATCATACTTTATATTACATCTATCTATCTATCTATCTATCTATCTATCTATCTATCTATCTATC